TACCCCCACCCCCNCCCCCCCCGACTTGCGACGCTTTGTTCTAGGCACCGCGAGGCCGAAGCTACTGGGATTACCGTTGTCCTTCTTTGTCCCATTTTGTACAAGCATGCGGCAGGCCCCTGGCACGCGTCGGCTTTCGACCCCACATCCCGCGCAGCCCATCGATGCCGACGTTAGTTTCCGACTTGGCCCACCCCAGTCGCCCGCATACTCCAGACCTCCAACGGGCCGCATCCCACCGGCTTAGGCGGCTCCCGGCTGCTTCCTTGCTGCCTGACAGCCGTAGCCGCGGAGGGGTGGATCGGGATATTAAATGCCTGTGCAACATATCACTTGACGTTCCTGCTGGTGTCTTGATCGAGTCTGGTCAGCCAGATTAAACAAAACACTCGGTGACTTCGTGGAATTACTCCTGTTGTCTGCAGACAGCTACTGCATCCTCGAACTTGCCTCTTGTTCCGGGTCTCGATCTGCCCGGTCGAGTCTCCCAACCAACGAAGCTGCCGCCGTGTTTGAACAGTCTTGCTGCTGCGCAACAATGACTGCCAACGGTAAGCCAATCTTCAAAACGCAACCCTATTCCAAGCAGGGATCTCGGGTGCGGCAACTGACCGATGTCCCTAATTGTAGCGGTCTTGCCCACCCCTGCCGCGGGCGCTGCGGATAAGGCGGCCTACCCTCCCGTGGTAGACCTGCGGGCCATGATGGCAAGGAGACCGCTCCCGGCCGTGGCGCCAGGCACCGTAGATGCGTCGTCCCTGACAGGAAAGGAGCCCGCCAGGCTGGCCCGCGGAGTTCTGGACAAGCTGAATGCCTCCCTGGCCGCGGGAGATGCCGCGGGCGTGGAGGACTGCTTCAACGCCTCCCAGGCGTACTGGAAGGACAGCATTGCCTTGACTTGGCATCTACGCACATTCGCCACTCCCTCAACCATTGCCGCCAGTCTTTTGGAGACCAGCAGACTCAGGGGGCTGTCGCGAGATGGCTTCCAAGTCGACGGTGATGCCCAGTTCAACCCTGTCTTTGTGGGTGCTGATATTAGTCGCATGTGTCCCCGAGCGAACAGCTTCTAACGGACCAAACGACAATACCAGAGCTTTATCGACTGCCCCATCTCCTTTGCCACCAGCTCTCCGGCCACCAAAGCGATAGGCAAGGTCCTCTTGCTACCCGTGAGGGGTGACAAGAACCAGGTGGAGTGGAAGATATGGATACTTGCGACAAGACTCGAGAGCCTCGACGTCCATCCCGAAAACGAAGCGCTGCTTAGGCAGCCCGGCCGGACCATTGACGGCAAGCAAGACTTTGAGACCCAAGTCTTGATTCTCGGAGCTGGGAATGCGTGAGCAAATCGCGGTCATGCCCACTGACATGCAAACCCCGCGATGTGAAGAAGCGCTGACGGGTTTTCATCCGCTGCTATACCTATAGTGCCGCCATACTCGCCGCCCGCCTTAAGGCGCTGGGCGTCGAAAGCGTCATGGTGGAGAGGTACCCCCGGGTCGGCGACAACTGGGCTCGCCGCTACGACTGTCTCCAGTTCCACGTGCCCACCTCGTCCGCCCAGACGCCTTATTTACGTACGTCATACCTCCACCCTCCCTGGGACGTGGCGCACACAGCGCAGCCGGTTTGGCCGTTGGGCTAGGAAACTGACAGGATTATGCGACGCGTGCCTTCTGCAGCCTACGATGATAGCCTGCTGGGTCGGATGCTCAAACGGGAAGATCTCGCCAACCACATGCGGCGCTACGTGGCCGAGTTCCACCTTAACGTCCTCACGTCTTCCAGGGTCCAGTCGTCAGTCTTTGATACATCGACCAAGAAGTGGACCGTTACGATTCAGACAACTGCTGGCCGGGTGACGGCGACCGCGAGACACGTCGTCCAGGCCGCAGGCCTCGGCTCCCAGCAGCCCTTCATCCCGAAGCTGGCCGACGAGGGCCTTTACAAGGGCGTTAGCATCCACTCGACCGAGTACCAGAACCCGGACGCCTCTCTGAAGGCCAAGGGCGTGCGGTCGGTGCTGGTGGTGGGCTCGGCTAACACGGCCTTTGACGTGCTGCAGGACGTGCACGACGCCGGGCTCGAGACCACCATCGTCGCGCGCTCCCGGACCTTTGTCGTGCCCGTCGAGTACCTCAGGGACCCGCGGGCCTTAGGCCCGTACGACGCCGGTGTCGAGGAGGCCGACCGCAACGCCTTTTCGCTGCCGACGTGGGTCGAGGCGTGGCTCGTCAAGGGGCTCTTTGCGTCCCTCGCCCGCGCCGAGCCGGACCGGTACAGGGCGCTTGCGGCCGCGGGGTTCCCCGTCCTCGACAGCGCGGATAAGGACGCGTGCCTGCTCCACAACATCCTCGAGCGGGGAGGGGGTCACTACGTCGACATGGGCACGACCCGCCTCATCGCGGACGGCAACGTCGGCGTCAAGGCCGGCGTCGCGCCCGTCGCCTACACCGAGCACGGCCTGCGCTTCTCGGACGGGAGCATGATCGAGGCGGACGCGGTGGTGTGGTGCACGGGCTTCCGGGACAAGGACGTACGGCAGGTCCTGCTGGACGTGCTCGGGTCCGAGCCGGAGCAGGGCGGGCCGGGGAGGCTGGGGCCGCGGGACGTGCTGGCGCGCATGGACGCGACGTGGGGTGTCGACGCCGAGGGCGAGGTGCGCGGCGTGTGGAAGCGGCACCTGGGCCTGGAGCGCGACGGCGGCGTCAACTACTGGGTCGCGGGCGGGCACACGCAGTTCCACCGGTACCACTCCACTACGATCGTGCTGCAGATCAAGGCGGAGCTCGAGGGCTTGCTGCCCGAGGCGTACAGGAAGACTCCTGGAGGGCACTAACGGTCAAGATTCTGAGAGGGGTGTATGGGTCAACGAGGGATACTCGACAACTGGTATTCACAAGCAATGGGGGCGAATTCTACAGGCGGCAATTAAGTTTCGAGCAACCAGCTACTATCGGAGCGGAATGGCAGGTGTTTAAATAAATTAGCCTCTCAGGGGCAGGATAGCATCCAATTATCAGACCGGCGCTTCAAGGCTTGAACATTACAGGCTCACATCGTGAACTCGTGGCAAACCATGCACCAACTAGAAAAGCCAAGAAGCGCGCCTATCCCAAGCCAGGGCGTGCGGGGTCCTTGCAGAGTAATCGACCCCAGCTGATTATAAAAAGCCGTGGGTGTGGTGGTATACTACTGACCATGCTTGATTTAATAGCATTTCGACAATGTTTCGGCGTAGGACGAGGGCGGCCAGATATACGAGGCGGCCCCCCGTTTTAGCCGACAGCGGCTCTTTCGTTGTCGCGCCTCATACCACGTGATGGTAGCCTGGGAAATATTGGAGACTTCCCTACGTCTTCCAGACGGAAACATTTCTTCGCGCTTTCGCACCCAATCAGCCTGGGCCGCCTTCCCCCCACACAAAGACTCTCCAGGAGTAGTAAAACCTCCCATTTTCGCGGCTTCACATGTGCCCCGCCAGCGACCAAAATACCCGGACCCCTTCGACCGTACGTGCTACGCAGTACGACGTACGACGTAAGAAATTCGCCGAATTTTAATAGCAGCGTTGCGACAAGGCTCCAAGATCAAATAGTCCCGTTTCCACAGACGGCTCCCCCAGACCATTCGCGCCAGTAGTCCGGCAATGCATAAAAACCAAAGCTTGGGTTATCACTCGGTAGCTGGGAGAGTCGCGGCTGACTGGCGGGCTGTTCGTATTTTGCGCCAAGCGTAAAGACCGCCCCGGGGCCTGCCCACCACCTCGGGGCTATGCCTGCCTAGCCAGGTGCGACGGAGAAGCCTAGTCGACCAGGCGGTCGCCGACGCCATCACCGAGGATGTGCGGCGGGACCTCCCGAACACTCGCTTTGAGGTGTTCACCTTCCGACCTGGAGGCCGAGGTCCTGGCCACGGGGCCGGTGCGGCTCCCCGGCGAGGCGCGGCACGAAACCCAGGCCCAGGCCGCCATGGGAGTCCTCATCTACACCTAGGGCCCGACCGACCACCGAAGGCCGCCGTGATGGGCTGGGCCAAGATGAGAATGGCTGGTGGATTCACTCCGATCCTCCTCAACCTCAAGACCACTGACATTTACTACACGGTATGTTAATGGAAACTTTTCCGGTCACCCTTCGTCAGTGGGCCACGCCAGTGGAAAGATTGGGAAGAGTAGGAGAACGCTAACAGGACGACATAGTGCATAACTTTGTACCATTCAACCGCCATCATCATGGGCCTCGGCCCCGTCCTGGCCCGCGGCGCAACGCTGGCAATAGGAGTCAGGTTCTCGATCAGGAACTTCTGGCGCGACGTGCGCAAGCTGGAAACGACCATGGTCTAGTACGTAGGCGAGACGTGCCGGTACCTGCTCTCGGCTCCCAAAGACCACGACCCCGTGACGGCCGTGGACCTGGATAAGGCGCACCGGGTACGGGTGGCGCACGGAAACGGCCTGCGGCCCGACGTGTGGACGCGGTTCACTGGGCTCCTGCCAAAAATATATTGCAGCAGCGGCGTTTTAACGAGCGCCTTTCGCCAATATCCGCTGCCGAAAAGGACTCGGATAACACCAAAGACCGGCTTACGGAATCGACTGCGGGAGCTGAAGCATTCGACACGGCCACTTCTCAAACGGGCAGTAGCGTTTCACATCTTCCCGAAATGGCTATCAGAACTCTGAGATCCCAGAGCACTGGCGTAGCAAAAACACCTGAGGCAGGTGCGCCGGGTGGTCAGGACACGCCGGGCGCGCCAATAAGCCGGATGTCAAGCTGGGATATCCCCAGGAGCGGGATCCACAAGTAGATCCTCCCAAAAATATCTTGCAACTGCCAAAGTGGGTTTTAGCCTGTTGCATTCAATTATTTATTGTCCTTGACTTTCGGCCGTAGCTGACCATTCCCTCTGTTTGGTATCGCAGTCTCACTGGACAGCTCGACCAAGCATTCGACACGGGAACCAGCACTTGTTCCAGTGAGACAGACTTGGACTTCTTACCCACCACTGGCCGCGACGACGATGGCTCTTTTGAAGCCAGCTGGGGACGATGGTATGACATTGGCGAGGAGACGTTTAAGGCCAACCCCGACACTGTGATCGCCATTTATATGCCTTGCATGATGCAGATGTGGGAAGACAGTCATAATGACGTCGTCCGTAAGGGACTGCCGTATACGGCGGCGTTCGCCTATACGGATTATAAAGTGCAAGGCAGGACCTTAGATCGGGTGGCACTCGAATTGCGGGGAACCAGGACGACAAATATCGAGAGCCAGGCCGTCCCCAGCCAATGAGACCCGTACAGCTTGTACGTGCAACTGTCCCGGTGTTCGTCACTGGACGGCATCATGCTCCTGTCTAAGGCGAGAGAGGGGGATTTTGTAGGCAATAAGGTGCCCGGTAACATGGTCGCTGCAGAGGAGAGGTTAGAGTTGCTAAGTGAGGTGTCACGATCGGGGCGAATAGGCTTCGCAGCCAGGCTCAATTGATGCTATGGACGAAGACTCTTCTATGAGGAGGGAAAAGGAAAGAGAGGCGCGGCGCGCCGAAGGCACGATGCGAGGAGAAAAGGTGTTGCGGTGCCTTGTCGCACAGGTTATCCTGTGGCCCGTGCGCCGTGGATGCCTGCGGCGTGCGGTGAATTGCCATGGCGCAGGCCGCCTGCATCGTCTACCTCAACATGGAGTACTTTGCCGATTCGGGTGAGCCGCGGGAGCCCGACGGGATGGGCCTGTGGGAGTCCAAGGTCCGGAGGCGAGTTAGGCAGTACCCCTTTGTCCGATACGCAGCCCTCAACTAGCGCGGGCACTTCGAAAACGCGGGCGCGGCTGCGTGGCAGGTTTACAGCGGCGACCCCGAATGCCACGCCCGCAATATGCGTTGGAGAGAGCAGGTGCTGGACGCCGAGAGCGAGCACGCCAAATCCTGGTCCGAGGTTTGGTGGTTCTTCACTAGGGGTCCTCCCGAAGACTACCCCGACGGGTGCCTGGCGGCACTGGTTGCTGCGCACAGGAAAGCCGCTCCGGTCCTCGACAAACCCTCGTGGTGCCGCCGCAGGGAGCGGGGGTAAAGACACCTTAGGAAGAGGCACTCGATTCCGGGGACGCGACGTCGAGTCCCGAAGCCATGTCGCCGAGCTCTGAAGCCGCTTCGCCGTTTTCCGAACCCCCGACGTCGATTTTACAGACCATGTTGTCGTCCTCTTCCCGCCCGGCAACACCCAGTTCCGGACCTGAGATACCGATTTTGAAAGTCAGACCGCCCCGCCCCCGCTTCCTACCCCCGACCCTGAGGGGCCTTCGGTTTTTCAGAGTGGAACCGGGAAGGAGAGGGCAATAGATAGTCCTCGACCATGGCCGTGACAAGTTTCTTGATCGGCCCCGCCAGCTGACTCGATCAACCCATTTCGGCCCCTCCCTCCACTGCCATCCGAGCCAGCTACTCGGCCCCTCCCTCCACTTCCATCCGAGCCAGCTACTCGGCCCCTCCCTCCACTTCCATCCGAGCCAGCTACTCGGCCCCTCCCTCCACTTCCATCCGAGCCACGATAGGGGGGCGGGTGGCTTTGCAGAATCTGGTCGTTAAAGCAGCGATGCGTCCCGGACTATTTAATAATCAAACTCCAATGGATTGGCCCCTGGAATCCAATTGAAATAAGCATTTCCAAAGACAAAGATCGCTCCTATCGAATCGTTGAATCTTCGGCTTAAAGGCTGAAACTGTACCACAATCCACGATGCTTGTTGCCATCATTCTCGGTCTTTTTTTACGGCTCGTTTCTGGCATCAACATGTCTTACTACCAAGACGAACCTGGTGTTCAACCCGCGTTTGCGCCATTCCTTTATAAGTAAAATCAACCATATCAGATCCCTTCTTAATACTAACCTGGATATGAACATGGGCTGATTTTTCCTTTCCAAAAGCTTTTACACAGCGGCGGAGAGCTTCAACACGACGCGATTCGTCAAATTTTTCGCCGAGAATGCGGTCATTAGCTTCGGGAAGGAAAGTTTCACCGCGCCCTCTGGAGTCGCGCAGTTCGTGGCTCTTACAAAGGATGGGCCTGCTATCCACGTAGGTATTCGGTATTATTCTTAGCCGCTAGGATAATGGATTAACTATAAATGAATTTAACAGCACTATCCTCTCAACGCCAGCGTCGGTATCGACAACAGCACACAGAATGAGTTCGTTTTAAACGGGAAGGCCAAGCAAACTTACACTAATGGTACTTGCGCGACCGTCACGTAAGTTTTCTACATCACCTCTCAAGGAAGGTCCTTTACTAATATCAGCCCGATGCTTATTAGTTACGTGACCAGATTTACCTTTGCAAAGACTTGTAGCGGAATTGTTGAACTTCTGCCAGAAAGCCAATCGCTGCTCTATCTCGAATTGGTCTCCCAAACCGCCACTATGGATTCCTGCAGCTCATTCTAGAGAGTGTCACGGC